ATTATGTATTCCAACATTAATACTTTTTGGGCCTCAAAATTTTAGGCGCCTAAATCAAAGGCTTTACTGGTCTTAGATTTTACAATCAGTTTTTCAAATTTTAGATGGTAATATTTAAACATAGAAGTGAATTATAAATTTGATAATTCACTTTTCTAGAACTTTTTTACCTTTTTAAGTAATAAGCTTTACTTTCTTTTGTTCTATGATGATATTATATTATAAAAATAAGTGAAGGCTACACATAATTCTAATCCTTGAGAATATTGCTTCTTTAATTAAATTACATTTTTCTCCTTTGACTGAAAAAACAGTGTTTACATTTCTTAGACAAAGGAGAAAAATGTTTTCAGTCAAAGGAGTTTACTTAATTAATCCTTGAGAATATTGCTTCTTTAATTAAATTATAAAAGGAGTTTAGACTTTCTTAATTAAATATATATATTTTCAACTTCAGCTTCAACTTCAATGGATCTAATTTTTCAACTTAAATCAAATATTATCCAAATGGCAACAATAAGGTACTGTGCTTATTTTATGTTATGTAATTAAAATTAAAAATTAAAGTTGATATAGAAATAGCCACAAAATTATATAAGAATATCAATGTGGTAGTACGGCAAAACAACGTATAAATAAATTATACTAATATATTAAACTATATTTAACTTTAAGATAAAAGAAAAAGAGAAACTATAATTAGCTTTCGCAGCGGGGGAAGATCTAGATTATGGTGTAGCCAAATAGTCTCTAGGTTATGGGAGACCGAAACCTAAATTTGGTCTTTTTGGACTCAAACGACATAAATAGATCAAAAAAAAACTGAGTACCATTTTATATATAGCGTGGTTATTCACTGCGCTATACCTTAACGACACGTTTGTCCGTTAAGGTATAGCGCGGTGAATAACCGCGCTATATATAAAATGTTCTGCCCCACCAATCATTCATCTGCACTTAACTGACCCACCAATAATTCATATGGGTATAACACATACATAATGGACGCTAAATATATAGCGCTTATTATGCATGCGCTATATCTCAATTATTGTACCCCCAGACTGATTTTTTTCTTATTTAAGTGTTTCAGAATTTGGTAAAAATCCATTCAGGATCCTTCCGATTTTTTAAAATATTTGGTCGTTAAGTTATTTTACATTTTGTCATAATGTCCGAAGAGCGAAAAATTAGGGTTTCATTATATTGGGGAGGGGGGAGGGTGAGATTATGGTGAAGAATAACTCAGTACGCTATAGTTATTTTTTACAGTGTCATGTTAAGTTGCCACTTACAATGGAGTATGATAGATTGGTATTGTTGTTATGTAAAAAAATGGGTGTGAGCAAACGTTCAGTTAATATTAAAATAACCGGATGATATCCCTATTATATTACTCCGCAAGGGGTTGCTTGTTAAGCTAAGTTTAACATCGAGGACGATGAAACTCTGACAGATTTTTTGAGGACTCCAGATGAACACTGGGAATATTTTGTGATAAAAATATTGGAAATGTACGTCAAGGCTGAAGACGTTCGCAATAATGAGGTTTCATAAAATATGGATATCCCTCAATAATCGGGTGGTTTTTTTGGAGCAGTTTTATCCGAAGAGGTTCCGGGTGAAAGAGTTTGGCCAGATCTAAAATTATCTCCACGTGCGAATGAGGAGCGAGAAAATAATTTATCCCCAAGTTTACATAATCCACAAACCGAGTGATAAACTTTAATTTTTCTTTGTGTTACGAAATTTATTTTTATGTATTAAATTTGTATTAAAACTCATATATTCCACATGGGGTACGAATGTATAACATAAAAGAGTGTCATGAGATCGTGGTTCATGAGTCATCTCCAGAAGTATACACGGTTATTTATCGTAGATGGTTTCAAGGTTGTAATTGGATGCTGCGTGCAAGAAAGTTGAAAACAAATATGTGGATTGTGGAAAAATACATTGGCACCCACAATTATGAAATTGACACATTTAGTGGGAATCATTTTAACTTGAATGTTGACTTGATTTCTCTTGTCTTGATTCCACACATTGAAGCGTCCATAAGGTACAAGATCAAAGAGTGTATAACATCTGTCCACCAGGTATATGGATGTACCATTACCAAAAGAAAGAAATTTTTCGGGCTTAAACGTGCGTTTAAAATTATTTATGGTAACTGGGATAAGTCCTTTGCCGCTCTACCCAAGTACATGACTGCATTGCAACACTTTAACCCCGGGGCTGTTGTTGAATGAAAGTTTGAGCGGAGTCCGGAAATATCAAAATACATATTCAGATATGTGTTCTGGGCATTTAAACTAGCCATTGATGGTTTTGTGCATTGTCGGCCGGTAATATCCATCGACGACACTCATGTCTATGGAAAGTATGATATTAAGTTGTTGATCACCATTGCAGTAGATGCTAATGGAAGTATATTCCCCTAGCATTTGCTATTTGTGCCAATGAAATCCAAGAGACGTGGACATTATTTTTGAACCACTTGAAGGAGCATGTTGTCAGATAACGTTCATGTATTTGTCTAATATCTGATCGGTATGGCGGTATTTTAAGTTCTATACAGAATTTACGTGCATGGCAGGAATCGTATGCCTATGTAACAACCCGGCCGATCGTTTTGTGAGTATTAGCCCCGGACCCCTATTTATTTCTTCCTCAATTTCATTTTGTGGTTACGTAACTTGCCGGGAGGATTTGTTCTTGGTTTCTGAGTGAAATAGGACCATAGTCCCTAAATTGGAAGTTTAAGTTCTAAGTATTGACCGTAGTTTGAATTGTGTGAAGACTACCTCAGAATGGAGTTTTGATGGGTTCAATAGTTCTGTAGGGTGATAGTGGTCTTAGGAGCGTGTTCGAATGTTGAATTGGAGATCCGTAGGTCATTTTAGCGTCAACTGACGAAAGTTAAAAATTTTATAATTTTTGAAAAGTTTGACAGAGAGTAGTCTTTTTGATATCGGGATCGGATTCCGATTTCGGAAGTTGAAGTAGGTCCGTAATGTCAATTATGATTTGTTTGCAAAATTTGAGGTCAATCGAACTTGATTTGATAGGTTTCGGCGTCAGATGTAGAAGTTTGAAGTTTTAAAGTTCATTAGGCTTGAATCGATGTGCAATTCATGTTTTTAGCGTTGTTTGATGCGATTTAAAGGCTCGACTAAGTTCGTATTGTGTTTTAGGACTGATTGGTATACTTGGTTGAGGTCTCGGGGGCCTCAGATGGATTCCGTATGGGTGACAGATCAATTTTGGACTTGGAAGACCACTGAAGAATTTCTGGTGTCCAGTTCTGGTTTTCTTCTTCGCGTTCGCGAAGGGAGTCCCACGTTCACGAAGGGTAACTGGTGGTAGGTGAAGAATTGTTCTTCACTTTCGTGAAGGGGGAGCCGCGTTCGCGAAGGGATGCACAGGTGGTGTATCGCGAACACGATAGGTCGGCCTTGTTCGCGAAGAAGAGAGGAGCAGGATGGGACCTCACACATTTGGTATGCGCGTTCGCGATGGGTTCATTCACAATTCAAAAAGTGGTAAATCTTATAAAAGGATATTCTTCGGAAATACATAAATAGCAACTACATACGATTGGGCTGAAAAAGAATCCATTGTAGGTGCTGCAAAAACGTTTTAGTACATTGGCGAAACTATCCCTTATCTCATCAACAATAACACATTCTTCTGACAAGTGTCAACTCTCTGTCCATTTGTCATGCTAATTGATGTCACGATCATGTGCCTTCTCAGTTTTCACAACGTAAGAAGTACTGCTAACACCGTAACCCATTTTTAAGGCAAAAAACTTCATTATAGTCCACCCGTCCCATAAAAAATATATTTTCTCCGTATTGTAGCAAGTGAACATCGAATTCAAGGCATTGTCGTATAGTGGATCCTGTCGATTGCTCGTTTCGATCCCCAAATTATTAAATTTTAAGATTTTTAAAAACTTTAAATCAGGATATTCCGACTTACTTTTCGGTAAAACTCATATATATAAAATGCTTATTAGTTGTTATTTACTGTGGGCTATGTTTATTTGTTATCGTTTTGTGATTTAATTAATTTGTTATTTTTATCCGGATTAGATTATTTATGTGCTAAAAAATAAGTAAAAAAGATATATTGTTATTTTATGAATAATTATTGTTATATGTGATTTTATTGTTGTACGTATATTAATATGTGACTTTATTGTTGTTTAGTGCTCTTTAATGTTATATTTTGGCCCTTAATTGTTATGTAGTGCCCTTTAACGTAGTAAAACTGATAATAAATTTTAGCTAATGGTAGTTGACTTTGTTCATGGCCATTTAGAGTAGTGTTACTGTAGTGTTTTTTAAAATTCCGTTGTGTAGAATAAAAACTAGGTGCTCTCCTTAACAAACTCGGATATAACACTCAATTATAAATTTAATATATCAGTAGATAATTATTAAATATTAGATAGGAATCATAAAATAATCATTTGCCGGGAACTTTGAGCAAAATATGAAAGTTAACAAACAAATCGTTACAAAATAAATAAATTCAATAGTATTTACTATTAAGTTTGTAGTATTTTTTTATATGATTAATTATTGAATAATTACTCATTTATCTTAGTAGTTATTGAAATTAATCATTTAATTATCTGTTAACTCCAAAATATCTGAAAAAATAATGATAGTTCAAACACAAAACCTCTCAAATTTTAGTCAGCAAATTTAAGAAAATAACATAAAAACAAAAATATAGAAAATTTGTCAAACTAAGTATACCCAAAAATAGCTGAGTAAGAAACAAAAATATAAAATAATAAACTAACATATTAAATAATGTAATAAACTAACATATAAAATAATAATATAGAAAATATATCAACCTTAGTAATAATATAGTAAAAATATCGACTAAATATTAATATAAAAGATATAGCAATATATTTAAAGGTGTTAAGCAATTAAAAAAATACTTTAATTAATATTGTTCAATTTACAGACATCGTCATGGAGGTTCTCCATGTGCATCCCGGACCTGCATCTCGAGAACTACTGTTGCTACAGGGCAACCATAGGTCTTCTCACATCTGGGATGGGCAGTGTCTATCCGAGACATTTTATCCCAGACGTATAGACGATATGTGGGAGTTCATTAGGGACCACCCACTCCATCCCCATATAGTTAGACGTCTTCAGGATATGTGTTTTTACATGATCATAGAGATCGGATGGTTGCAGTTCGACTGGACGTTGATCACGGCTATGATAGAGCGGTGGCGACCGGAGACACACACATTTCATCTATCCATCGACGAGGCTACCATCACGCTTGAGGACGTGGAGGTTCTTTTTGGGCTGCCGGTTGATGGATTACCTGTAGCTTACCCGCATGCTCTTAGAGACTATAAGGGAGTGGATTACCTGCATATGTTACAGCGGCTCACCGGTTTCCAACCAGCGGAGCCGACTGCATTGATTGGGGCCAGTCGATTGCATCTGACGCTCGTCCGACAACATCTGGCGGCGATGGATGCGGAGATTACCGATGATTCACCGCCGGAGGATATCGACTGGCACACGAGATTGTTGTTGTTGCTGATGTTTGGTGGTGTACTGTTCCCGAACACTTCGGGAAACCTAGTCAGTTTGAGATTTCTACATCATCTGGAACGGCTAGATGATTTATCTGGTTACAGTTGAGGTGTAGCTGTTCTAGGTTACCTGTATAGGCAGATGTGTCGGGCGTGCATGGGCACCCAGAGAGATATTGCCGTATTTTTACCGTTGCTGCAGGTGAAAACATAGTCAATTCTTTTCATGATTATAACATACATAGTAAAATAATACCTTAAATATTACTTCCTTAATCTATATTAGGTTTGGGCCTGGGAGCGATTCCTGCAGTTCCAGCCACCTCTACCATCAATCACTCCGATTACATGGATTTGTTAGAGGTGGGTTGATAGGCGAGGCTACAGATGCAAGGTCGAGGCTCGCCATCATCTCCCCTATTACAGAGATTTCTTGGATTTACTTAAAGGCGCGCATATACATATATACTTAAGTTTACTTGACCTGGCTTTATATGTGTTGCGTTTACTCACGATTCATGTATTTAATAAATAGTTCGTATGGAGGCCATATAGCGACGCGCTCATAGCTGGTTTGCCTGATTACTGCTCCCGCAGCCGAGCTATGTAGAGCTCTTCTGTCCCACTGATATGTCTTGATATAGTCGAGTATCATGCCACCGAGTGAGTCCTTCGCCAGTTTGGTCGACCGCAGCTTGTTCCTATTCCGCCCACTTGGCTTAGGACACATTACCAGCTTGTAATTCAGCTCCATTGTTGATCGCAGGCACGACCATTACACGACAGGAGAGGGATCAGTATTTTCCTGATCCCCCAAAGCCATCGACAGTTGCCGATGATTGTTCGACATGAGAGGTGCATAGTGGGCGACGACTGAGTTATGGCTCATCACCGAGGGATGTTGAGGAACTTTCACACACTTCATTTATTCTAGTGCACCTCGATATTTCGACAGAGCATTGTGGCACTACTTATGCGCAGGTTTGTTTGTATTACTATTATTTTTATTTGTTTTTATCTCATTGATTAGTCAGTAATATCTAAAGTGTTTTTATTTTTTTAAGGACGTCGACATCGCCCTTCACGGAGGACACATTATGCGATACTAACATGCCGAAGATGCATGATTTTATTCAGGAGCTCGCTGAGTCCATGGTATGACCATTAAAATTTTTTGCTAACACGTACATTAGTAATTTATATTTCATATACTAAAATATCTTATTATTCTGTAGGTTACTGTTGTCCCGCCGGTCACTTCTACTGAGTCTGCCAGCCTTAGCAACGATCATGCTGCAGCGCATCCTCCGATAAAGAGGCGATGTGATGAGGATGATCCTGATAGCGTAGTCGAGCGAGATGGGATGCGCCTCAGGCCAGCCAATGCTTTAAAGCATACATGTTGTGGGACACATTGACATTTATTATTATTTGTATATATGATATTGACGAAGAAGATGTTGACAAAGAAGATGAAGACAGAGACGATGATGGCGAATGACAATTGTTTTTTTATTTCTTGGGTTGTATGTTAAATTGTTGTATTGAATCTTTAATGCTAAATATCAATTTAATTTAACCCCGTTGGAAACATAATTTTATTTCATACATTTTGCAAACTGAACATTTACATACATTTTGTACAACAAAATTACTGCAATAAAACTATACGTTTATCCTTGATAATTGGGCACATTGGATGAATTTTCACCTGGAGCTGAATTACCACCGCTTCCCAAACCAGCTGAAGGACATTTACGGTGGTATTGCCCTGTTTGGGAACATATGCCACATTTACGCGCATAAACGGTATCACCAACATCCATTTGGTTCCGTATACACGTTCCTTTTTGCACTTGCCGTTGACACACACAATCCTTGTTACACACCATTTTAAATGGTTTCGACAACCAATAATGCTCAACACCAACTGGCTACAACTGTCCACTATAGGTGTTTAAGTATGCAGCAACACTATATTCTTTATCAACGTACCTCGTTGCCGCGAAGCCTTTATGTTGAAAGCACTTCATGGCATGTGAGCATGGAAAGTGATAGATTGACCATTTTCCACAAGAGCATAATCTTCTTGCTTCATTGGCGGTGTGTGTATTATTCCCGCGGTTGTGATGCAGACCAGTGCGAACTTCAAAAATGTTTTGCTCGCTGCAATACTGCAAAAATGAATGCCATTGTGCTCGTTTCCTATATTTCTCAAATCGTTTCATTGGTTGTGGCATAAATTCAACACCCTTTTCCATCAATGATGATGCACTTCTAGATATTTCAATAAACATCTCTGCCATCTGCTTGAATGGCATCCGCACCATGGTAGTGACATGCAATCCACGTGCAGACTTCAATAACCCATTGAAAGACTCTGGCACTTTTGTAGTCAGAATTTCCCATATTCTACCACCACCCGCATGCAAATTCCACTTGTCAAGCTCATGTCACATCAACCAACGATAGGCTTCTGGGTCTTACTACATAATCAATTCCATTTACCTCCTGAATTTACACTCTTGGTGATCTATTGCAGCCACCCACATTAAATCATGTAAGTCCTTGTTCGGATAAGCCCTCTAAAAGTTGGCCTTCAAGTGCCTAACACATTAACTGTGGTAGGCTGTCACAACCCCAATTCACCCTCCGTAGGATGTCGTGATGACACCTAGTCTCTAAGACTAGGTAAGCCTAACAATTTGCGGAATAACAAAATAGAAATCTGAAACTCAAAATCTCAACAGATGAAATAAATATAAAAATGCAAATCAATAATTACAACTCCCAAAACCCGGTAGAAATAAGTTACAAGCTTCTAAGAGAAATACTATGTGTCTTTATACATCAGAGTCTAAAGCGAATAAGGAAAAATAACATAACAAGGATAGAGGGGGACTCCGAGGTCTGAGGACGCTGACAGATATACCTTGAAGTCTCCTAGTACAGGCTATCTAACTAGTATCTGGCCTGGTAGGAAGAACTTGGATCTGCACAAAAAAGATGTACAGAAGAGTAGCATGAGTACACCACAACGGTACCTAGTAAGTGCCAAGCCTAACCTCGGTAGAGTAGTGACGAGGTCAGGTCAGGCCTTACTGAAAATAATAGGAAAATAAGGCAACCAATGTAATAATATAATGAAATGATTGAGAAGTGAACAACGAAAATTTACAGAAAGATAACAACACAACAAATAGAGGTAAACAACATGGGCATTCCCGAGGTATTCGCCTCGTAGTCCCAAAAGTAAATATGCAACAGAGGGTACTCCCGAGTAAATGCCTCGTAGTCCCAAAAGTAAATATGCAATAGGGGGTACTCCCGAGTAAACGCCCCGTAGTCCCAAAAGTAAATATGTGATAGGGGATCTCTCAAGGAACCGCCTCATAGTCCCAAAAGTAAATATGTGATAGGGGATCTCTCAAGGAACCGCCTCATAGTCCCAAAAGTAAATATGCAATGGGGAGAATAACTAAAGGAACAACGAGTTACGGCAAGAAATCCTACAGTTAGAGACTGAATTCAAATCAAGGAAAGCAGGTAATTTATCTAAGCATGTTGCACAAAATTTAAAGTAAGAGTTAAGGCACATAGACATGCGATACCAGGCTAAACATGATCACTACATATGCTAAGGCAACTGAGTTAAGGAATTTAAAAGAAGACAACTCAGCAAGAACCGAAATTTCCAAATTTAGCCTATGTACGCACTCGTCACCTCGCGTACACGGCACTCACATATCACAATCTATAACAACAGTACCAAATCCTATGGAGATTTCCCCCACCCAGGGTTAGACAAGTCACTTACCTCAAATCTCGCTCAATCAGACAAGTAGTATGCCTTTCCCTCGATTTTCCAACTCCGATCGGTTCGAATCTAGCCAAAATAATTTCATACTATAAATATAACTACAAGAAATAAATTTAAATAATGAAACTATGAATTTAGCAAAGAATTGAAAATTCAGCCCAAAAGGTCGACCCGGGCCCACGTCTCGAAATCGGGTAAAAATCATAAATTCTGAACACCCGTTCAACCACAAACTTTCCTCTAATTTTCACCCCAAATAACTAACTAAATGATGAAATTAAAGATATAATCATGGAAATTAACCCAAACCAGGTAAGAATCACTTACCCCAAACACCCACGTGAAAATTTCTCCAGGAATTGCCTCCCACCGAGCACCCAAATCAATTTTTGTGTTATGAACTCAAACCCCCGTTTTGGAACTTATAATTCTGCCCATGTGTTTCCTTTTTCGTGAACGTAGAACTTATAATTCTGCTTGCTTCCCCAAAGCCTTTTTCGCGAATGCTAGGCTCCACTCGCAAACGCGATGCCTAACTGACCCTTAGCTTCGCGAACGCGAAGACCAAATGCGTGAGGTCCCAGCCAACTCCTCTCTTCTTCGCAAACGCGACCGACCTCTCGCATTCGCGATGCACCACCTGCCCAGCCCTTCGCGAACACGGCTCTCCTTTCATGTATGTGAAGGAAAATTCTTCACCTGCCACTAGTTACCCTTCATGAAAGCAGGACTCCCTTCGCGAACGCGAAGAAGGAAACCAGAACTGGACACCAAAAATTCTTCAGCAGTCTTCCAAGTCCAAAATTGATCTGTCACCCATACGGAAACCACCTGAGGCCCCCGAGACCTCAACCAAGTATACCAACCAGTCCTAAAACACAATACGAACTTAGTCGAGCCTTTAAATCACATCAAACAACGCTAAAAACATGAATTGTACATCGATTCAAGCCTAATGAACTTTAAAACTTCAAACTTCTACATCCGACGCCGAAACCTATCAAATCAAGTACGATTGACCTCAAATTTTGCACACAAGTGATAATTAACATTACGGACTTACTCCAACTTCCGGAATCGAAATCCAACCACGATATCAAGAAGTTCACTCCCAGTCAAACTTTCCAAAAATCATCAAATCTCAACGTTCGCTAATTGACACTAAAATGACCTACGACCCTCCAATTAAACATCTGAACAAGCTCCTAAGAACAAAATCACCCTACGGAGCTATTGGAAGCGTCAAAACTCCATTCTGAGGTCATCTTCACACAATTCAAACTACGGTCAATACTTAGAACTTAAACTTCCAATTTAGGGGCTATGGTCCCATTTCACTCCGAAACCAAGAACAAATCCTCCCGGGAAGTTACGTAACCACAAAATGAAATAGAGGGAGCAATAAATAGGGGTTCGAGGCTAATACTCACAAAAAGACCGTCCGGGTTGTTACATCCTCCCCCTCCTAAAACAAACGTTCATACTCGAACGAGTATAGAAACATACCTGAAGTGGTGAAAAGATGAGGATAATGGCTGTGCATATCATGATC